TTAAGCTAGATCGAAGTTGTAAAACTCTACTTAAAAGTTTTTGAACAATGTTTTGGAACTTATTTTAATCAAATTCTTTTGATGGTGCCAATCGCATTCCTAGATTATGTTTTCTCAGAATGTTTCATCTTTTTCTCGTCAATGATACAGAAATAAATTAAAATTAAATTGCACAAATTAATGTCTTTCTGCAAAATGTCCATCTGCAAAATGTCTTATATGACTCATCTGTGTCTACATGTTGAAATTCGAAATCATGAAAAATGCTTAGGTTTTGATAATTTTTTAAATCTCTAGATACCAGTAAATAACTACCTGCGTCCTGTTAACAAGTTCGGTCATAGACAACAAAATTATACTACTATGGACTACAAAGTTAGATTCCAAGAACGGTCGAGTCGACGTCCCGGAGCCACTCGTCACCTACGACGACCAAGTACCATTCAACACCTCCCAAAGGGACTCCACAAGCATGTCTCGGCGGGTTACAACAACAACAACGAAGTTAGTTGTTTCTAAACGGAATTAGTTTTATATGTGCCAACCATTACTTAACTTCTAATAACAATAGACTTAACTTCTAACAACATTTAGTCCGACTTAAATCAATTTAAACCTATGCCATTTCAATTTATCGTATCGATCTGATAAAAAAAGCAGTTTATTACTATATTATTAATACTTTAAGAATCAGATCTTCAATATTAAATAAATAACTATATAGTTTTCTTCAATTTTTTAAGTTCTCTTCATATTCTTATTTTGCAATCTATATCTTATGTCAAAAAAAAATCAAATGTAAACAATCTGCAGATCAAAAGCATATTAAAAATAAATTGCTTTATCTTCAAATACCAATTTTTAGTCTTTGGATTTCCTTTTAAAAGAGCAACCAATATATATTAAAAAATAATTATTAAAAAGTAAAATAATTAATTCGCTAACACAATTATGAACTTCATATTTTATTATTTAGGTATCATACTTGCTCACGGTGTTGCAAATAGTGACTGCAATAAAGTAAAAAAATAATTAAAAATTAATACGATTAAATTAATATAAAGTATCTGAAATTCATATATTCAGATGTATGAAATATAATAACGTATAAATTACAAATCTATTTTTACATTTTTTTGCGACAGAATTGGAATTTTCAAAGATAGATAATTTATAACATGAAATGCTTATATTTATATTATTATAATAATAATAGTTATATTAAGTTTATGAAATACTTTCACATAATATAAAATTACAATTAATAATATATATTATATTAATAACTTTCCATATATTACAGGTGGGCAAATTTAAATGCAATTTATGTGATTACTCCTGCATACAAACCAATTCTTATAAACGGCATATACGTACTAATCATCCTGAGGTTTATAAGAGAATTGCTTGCGATATTTGCAATTTTGTGACAATAACTGAACAAAAATTGCTTGCCCATAAGGAAGATCATAAAAAAGGCTTAATTGTAAATTACGAAGGTTAGAATATAAACGAAATTTTATAATTATATTAAAATTATTTAATAAAAAAAATTATTTCTTAAAGATTCAATGGACGCAACACGTAACAATTGCTTTAAAAATCCCGGAAAATTGCATGACAAAACTAATGAAGTAAGTGTGTATTTTATAATTCTTTTAAAGTGAAAAAATAATGTTTATGTTTATTCTGTTAACAAATTATATCAATTTATATTCAATACATATTATTTATTATACATATATCAATTATTAAAAAATTAATAATAATATATATATTATTAATTATATGTAAATTATTTATTATATATGAACTCTGTCAACCATTATTAGATCATATTAAGAGAACAAACAGCTATATAAAAATTGTTTTGAAGTTATCTGTTGGCACCTTTTATGAGTTTTAAATATTATCTTTTTAAATTAGTACTCTGGTATGCTTTTATGTGAGCCTCATTCTTTGTCTCTTTTTTTCTTGTCTCGATGGCAAATCTTAAATCTTATTTTTCAATAATTTAAATTTATTTATATGAACATAACAGTAACACTTATTTTCTGAAACAGCATTTCTGGTTGCTTCCATATTTGCTTCCATATTGAAACGAAAACGTTGATATAAATATACTATGTAGATAACTTTGATACGGTTTACTATAATATTATTCTTATTTGCCAAACACTGGCCTTTGATAAAATATACAAAACTAAATTATAAGTGAAACATTTATTGTCGACTTTATTGTAAATATGCAAAAAATAAAATATCAATATAATATATTAATAAAGTTTATATAAATCACACTATATCCATGTGACTATACAATATACTCTATGAGATTATTCAACACCAGCGAGTAGATTTTTCAGTTGTGTTTTTTCTTAACACTCTCTTAAACTGACTTTAGCAAATAGTTTGAATTAATAAACTAAAATTCCAACTATTAAGTATCGCATACATTCCATATAGAGATAAACTTCTCTAGTGAGAAGCCCTGCTATTTATTATTGTTAAATCGGTTATTGTTTTTAGGCGTCTTTCAATTACAATATAACTTAGTTTCCAACTATATGCCATTCACTATTTATACTTAGCCTATCTACTCTGGGTTTTTATTACAAAATTCTGATATTACTCATACTTGTTTTAATGTTTAGAAAATTAGTGTTAAAAGTATAATTTGTTTTTGTTTGAATATAAAATATAACATCGTTGTTTATTAATTAACCATACCTCAATTTTGAATTACTTGAATTATACCATTTACATTGATTAATGACTCAGACTTATTAAGATGACAAAATTTTTTTTTACTTTAACCTGGTCTAGCTTTAACATTCTCACTTTAAACCCCTTCGTGGCTCGAACACGATGTTCTTGGAACTATACTGTTTTGCAACTCTCTCATGTACTTGATTTGTAGGTTATCTCGGGCTATTTGTTTCTACGTTAATTAATTTTTCATTTCTATTCCAAATTTCATGTTCCTATATAAAATTCTTTTTAGTTCTCTTTCTATCACTTATGCTTTTTTATGCTCTATCTACAATAATAGTAAGCATAATGTTATATAATCTGATCAGTTTATAACTGCTTGATACAGTTTTATAATTTTAATGTATTTTCATGTGCAGAAGCTTCATAGTTTTTCTTATTAGACCTATTTATCTAATTAACATTGTCTATATAGGATATGCCACATAAGGGTTCAGTTGATAAGAATAGCAGGATTGCTGTATGTAAGACGTTATTTAGATTTAGCATTAATAATAGAAATTTTTCTTTCTTGTTTAATGTTAGTTGGTACTTTTCTATATTTTTTGTTTTCAGTGCTGGTACATTGACTATTGTTTATTTCTATGTATAAATTTAAGCAAAATTTGTCACAAATTTATTAAAGTTGAGCCTGGGTGAATTTAAAGGCTAATTCATATGCTTATATATACCTGTAAATTATATATTATATATATATATGTATATATTATATATTATATTAGAAAATGATGTTCACAATTTTTCTGTTGTGTTCTTTAATTGTTTGTTTTTCCAATAATTAATAGACTTCCATGAAAGTTTATTCAGCAAGAACTATGCGTATATATATTGTTTTATCAATAATATACATATATGACATTATTTTATTAAATATATTATTTTTAATAATTTCAGATTTCTGTTGATTGTTTCTTACCTCTGGAGAGTGTCGATTCATTGCCACATGAACCGCCATTGGATACCGGTGGAGTTACTATACCTGCGCCAACAGAAGATACACAATTTCCAACTTATTTAAATAATTAATGAAAATGTAAGAAGTTTTTGTTTGAATTTATGTTTATTAATCAAATTTTAAGTTTTTGTGATATGATTTGCAACTTTAAAATTTTTGTTCTTTGTTCTTTTATGTTTAATGTTTAAATGTCTCATTTTAAATGTATTTTGTTTTTATTTAATTTAAATTTGATTTTAGTAATTGTTTTTTAACATTTCATGTTAAATTGAAGTTCACTAATTCAATAAGAAATTGTTATTTTACTAATTTTTATGTGTGAAAACAATTCATTTTAGTTATTTTATTTTAATTTTTCATTCATGTCATTAAATTATTTTATTTGATTTTATTTCATTTTATTTCATAATTTTTTTTATTTAATTAAATTTTATTCATCAATATTTTAAAATTCTTTGTTAATACTTTTACATAAGTTGTTCACATTTTTTTTCTTTAAATTTAATTTTTTTAATTTATTTTATTTTTCATACAATTTAAATAAATTATTGCTATATACAATTTTGTATCCTATTTTTAAATAATATTAGTTAACTAAACCTAAATAAGTTGGAAGCTTTGTTACACGATTCATACAAATTACTTCCATGTTTTTTTTTCAAACAAGTGTTATAATAAATATTTTGTTATATGTTATTTTCAGTATAATTATTTAATTCGTATGCTACTTAAAATTGTAGTTGTAATTTTTTTAATCAGTATGTGTTTTTTTATGTCTGTTTACTTTTGTTTAAACTCTTGTAATTGTATTTCAACTCGCAGTAGTTAAAAAGATAAAACTTAATTAAAATTTTATTGTCAGCGTATATGTTTTTGTGTTTAATATAAGATTTAATAAAATATTTTTATAATATGAAATAACTTTTAAAAATTTTATAATTATAAAAAGTTATAAATAAAAATTTAAAGCTTTTTGCTTATATAAAAATGAAAAACTTATTCTCTTGTTTTTGTATTAAAATTTTAAAATAAAAAAATTAATTTTAATTGCTTAGACTTATAAAAATACAATAAAATTATTCTACAATATGTTACATTATTTAGTTTATTTTATTAAAATCATAAATTAATTTTAATGATATTTTTTTTGTTAATTTTTAACTAAATTATTTTAAAACACAACAACATTTAATTATATATATATGTAGATTTAATTTTAAAGGCAGTGTTCGATTTTAACACAAGTTCACATAAAATTTATTTTAGGATTTTTTTTAAACCTAATTAAAACTATTTTCTTGTGATGTTATTAATATAAATTAAATACGAAAAAAAATGACGAAGTGCTAAAGAATAATACATTTTTTAAATCGTTAATTTTTACCCAATAAAAATTATTATAAATAGGAAACAAAAAATAATTTTTAAATGATTAAAATGTAAAATAAAAATAAAAAATTGATAACTAAAAGTTTTTAATTCAATATTATAATTCTATAAAAATTTTATTAAGTCGCATGTGGTAAAACGTAGAACTGTTCTCTTAACCACTCCTATCACTCGATGGGATTTTAGGTTTATTTTCACTTAATAATATATATTAACCTTTTTTTTTAATAAAATATAAAATATAATAAAAATATTCTAAAAATGAAATTTTATAAAATAATTTTGTATGTGGTATTAATTTATAAGTTAGTTTCATATTGTTTTAATAAAAAACAAAAAAAAATATATATAACAAATTTATTTTTCATAAATATAAATCAATTCTATATAGATTGTTACATGTAGCTTAAACATTCAAATTACAAGTCTTTTAAATTGGCTAACATATATACTTACATCAATTACATACAATCACACACATTCACAAAAATATATTAGCACAATTCAATCATAATATAATATATACGTATGTAAGAAAATATGCATACAGACTTTTTTACTTTCCTAATAGAAATTATTTTATATATTTCATATATATATATATATTCATATTTTTCTAATTCATATTGTTCATATTTTTGTTTTTATTTAAAACTACTTCAACACAGAGTATAAAATTTGATTACGATCTGTTTTTTTTTTATTTATTTGTTATATATCTTAACTAATTGTAATATTTTTGTATAATGACGTCGTTTTATTTTCATAATAGAGTTCTCTTCAATTAATTAATAATAATTATAATTAATAATATTCTTGAATATTATTTTTTTATAATTTGTGCGCCGCATAATAAATGCTGGGATTTACGCTATAAACTACATTTAATGTACTACTTTTAATTTATTAAAATTGTATTTAAATTTTTTGTTTTTTTTTTTTCATTTTTGTATATATTAATTTTTTACTACTAAAATTTAATAACACCTTTTAGTAAATTTTTAAATTATATAAATATTTAATCATTTTGAATGATTTGGGTTTTTACATTGTCGTTTTGATTTTATTTATATTTTTTGTTTAATGTTTTTGATTAAATTTGTATGTATTTAATAGATTTTTGTTTTAGTTTATTAGTTGTATTTTATGTATCAATTGTAATTAATATATATTTTTTATAATTAATTTTTTAACTTCTTGTTTATTTTAATCTTTAGTTAATTTAGTTTATTTGATTGTAACATACTAAACTTAAAAACAAATTTTAATTTATTATTTATAAAATTTTAAATCAGGTTTAATTTTTAATTATTTTTTTTTGTACAGTTAACACTTGAAAAATAATTCCAAAAAAAATTAAAATAATATTGATCTTAGTTAATTAATACGGCTATTATATTATACGAGTATTATAAAATATTGGATAATATTAATTATCCAATAAACACCAACAATTTGAACACTTGCAATTTGAATTAAGATCTATTATTAAATGTTATTGTAATACTGTTGTTGTATCGTAGTTGTTAGTATATTAGTTGTCGCTATATTAGTAACAGTTTTCTTCGAATCACTTATATATTTAAATTACTTCACATAAGCATAGTTGTAGACAGGATAGTCGCCTCGTAAAATATATAGTCATTATGGCACAGTGGATGCTCTAGTAAGCTGTTTTTGTGTACGTTTGCAAACTGTTCTTCTGACACCTATATCAATTGGCGAACTACCATAGATTGTTAAGAGTCGTTAAACTTGCATTCTTAAACTAAGTATCGATGTTTTCGATTTTCGGAGTATACAAAGTACTGATTGAAACGCTATTATTTATTAACAACCAGACGTGTGTCAACAATACCGGAAATGTTCCATTGACAAGTCTGTCAATATATTTGCATTTCGTTTTAATTTTGGTAAATACTCGTACCAAAATTTTTGTTTTTTTTTGGTGCTTTTGTTGTATGTCTGCCGTAAACATAAGAGGGATCAAGTATCTCTAAAAAAACAAGTTAATACTTTCATAAGAGTCATACTTCCTTCGATAAAGCCGAGATAAAGCATAAGCTATAGTGTAATATTTGCTGTACTTTTCTTCAAATGTTGCTGTTGGCGTTCTAACGTCCATTTTCTATGGGTTGTTCAGTTATTTTAGTATCAGATGCTCCGTGATTACTTTAAATTTGTAACATTTTAAGTATTATTGTATTTCCCCTATTGGTCATATTAATATCAGGCTTTTTTGTCGGTAAGATTGGCATATGCTATTTTATTTTTCCTCCAGTTATGTCCTGTACTCATACAGATTATACCCTATAGTCATTATGGAATGATAAAAGAATTTCAGTGCCTGTCTTTTTTCTGTCTAGTTCCACCGTTTGCCCTTTTTAATTATTTAGAAATAAAATGATATCAGATGATAAAAATACAAACACAATCTTTTTAATTATAACGTCAATAGTTGTACTAGTTACTAAGCAGTCTTCAATTTCCACTTGTCATTTCTTTTCCTTATTAGGTGTTATGAACATCTTTCGTTTTGCAAATGCTTTCTTCTTTTTGATGAGTTATTTACTTTGGTGTGGGTTGTTTTTCATTTCTTATTCTTATATCTAATAGAGTTGGACATTTGTTTTTCATATATGTACTCATTATTTGCTCTCCTAGGAGTAACTCTACTGAGTTTATTCTAGAACTCGTTCAGAATTGTGATTTATTTTAGACCGTAGAACACAAAACATCCACATATGTATACGTGGAACATTTAGTATGTGTTGCTGAATAGGTTCACTTTTCAATGCCGTGATGAAGAATTTCTATTATGATCTAGAAATATTCGATTAATTGTTCTACATGTACAGTATTCGGCATAAGGAGCCATGGTACATAATTTTTAATAATGCTAATTATTTTTTCGGAGGTACCTATTTTACAGGCTGAAAACTAAATAAAGTTAAGAATCAAATGCCTCACCCCCTTAGAAACCGAAAACTAATACTATTATAGCAAATATATATATTACAACAAGATTTTTCGATGTTGCTAGTAAAATGTACATTCCACAATAATTTCCACATTTTTTAATACTTCTTATTGGAATACTATATGCAGTTTTTCTCATCTATTTGGTATATCTTTAAGTATCCATATTTAATGGTATATGAGCAAGCTGACACTGCCTTTTAAAAATCGGCGTTGTCACTAGTCTTATCGTCATTCATCGTTGCAATTTCATAAGCCATCTTTAACAAGTCAGATGTACATATGATGATATGTCCTTCTGATGATGTCGCATTCATGTTTCACATTTCATTTATTTTTGACTTGTTTTCCAATCTGAGGCTACCTAAGTCTTCTTTCGTTTATTTTAGCAACTGAGGTTTCTGTTTCAGTTTGCTTTGCTCTTCTATTAGATTTCACGATTTCTGGGTCAACCATTTTTCCGCTGTTGTCGGTGTACTTTAATTGTATCGTTGTAAATTTTTTAGAACTCTGTTTATCACACTTACTATTTATGTAACTGTGATAAACAGTTACATATTCGTTTATCACATTTGATCTGATTGAGTTTTGTTTTTACTTTGTCAGGATTATGTCTATTCTGTTTGTCACATTCGATTTGATTGAGCCTGTTTTTACTTTGTCAGGATTATGTCCTTCCGTCTATTTAGCCTTCTTCTGTTTCTTTAAGAAAAATTGAGGCATATTTTTGAGTTATTAGTTGATATTTACTTCCAATGTCTACATTACTCTTATTACATATATTGCATTTTGTGTTGAAATGCTTCCTGCACATGCAAATGTTTATATATTATAATTTTCATATTATTTGCTGCTGACGCATGTAATTTTGTGATTTACTTTATGTAAAACTAGTCCCTCATTTTAAATCCATTATTCCTAAATCCTGCACTTTATTTTCTTTATTGATGATGACTTTCAAAAATTGGCTTTAATAACATCCATGTTGAAAAAGCCAACCCTTATCTTGTGTAAGGATGAGTAAAACGTGATCATTATAAGCAGAAATATTAATCCATTAAGAATAACCAAAGGAAAAACCAATCGAATATATAAAGAAATAGTTGATATATAAAGAAATACATAATCGGTAAATATTGTTCGATAAATGCAGGAAACATGTGCTGATTTCATTGAGTTGGTGAAGTTGTGATGTCGTAAATATAAGTCTTTCTTTTATTTTCTTTCTATTGATGTCTTCAGTACTTATTGTTGTCTCTTTCTATAATTCTGTTTCTACTTCTTGGTGTGAAAGAAATAACAAATAATTTATAAATTTTTTTTTTCATAGCTAACTGTACAAAAAATTTATTTGGATTTAATTAATTATTTTTTGGGATGATTTAAAAATGACGGTTTTAAAAACGTATCTATCGTATATTGTTTTTCTATGGCAGCTATATGAATGTTTTATGAACGCGTGAACTAAAAGCGTTTCATTTATTATTTATTTTGTCGTATTTTTATATACAAGAATAAAAATATTTTAAGTTTAAGAAAGTAACTCAGTTCCAGAGAGTAAAAATATCTTTTTCACAATCCTATTTCTGTTGCTTTACAAAATACTTTTCAATAGAAAAACGTATTAGTGTAGTAATAAAATTACAAATCAAATACCTAAACAAGTCTAACATTAAAGGTAATATAAATTCAGCTAATTAATTAAAAATATTAGTAATTTAAATGCATTTAAAACAGGTGTATACAGTACCAAAATTCTTATAGTTCCGAAGCGCAATTCTGCACGATATTTTTTCAAGTGTTGCCTTAGAATTCGGTCAGACTGTGGTGACTCGATCTATTTCAACATATCGTACAGAATTGTCGCTTTGTCAGCAAATCACTTCTTTTTCATCAAGAACGGCGGTGTCCATGGAACTGAGTGATTTAAGGCGTGTCTGCAGCACAGAAGATCCACGCAACTTACGTTTAATTTTTCTGTAAAATATTAAAAATAGTCCGTATAAAGGTAAATGTGAATATAAAATAATCAGTAGGCTTACGTATAAGCAAATGCTGCGAAGGCGCAACCAAATAGCACCATTATGAGACACAATGTCGCCAATATTTCGGTAGGCAGTTTTATAAAGGCGGAACATTGTAAGAAGGCCTCATCATCGCCTGAAGGGCAGTGAACGATACCATCACACCAGACGCTTGCATTAACACATGCACTTAATTCTGAGCATTTATATTGACAGTCTTCTACAAAAATTTAAATAGGATAATTAAAAATTGAAAATAAACAACACAAATTTCTGTAAATATACCAGCTAAGCTTAATATTGGTCTTGGAAGTATTTCCATCCAATTGAAAGTAAATTCTCCATTCTCTGGACGTAGGAACTCCACACTAATAGCTTTAGAGCGATTAGCAATTGCGTAATTTGGTCTTTCATTCCAGCCTGCACTAAATATTTCCACAAATTCATATGCTTTCGAATCGGGTCCCAAAGGACAAGCAGTTATTGTTAAACCTACATTAGAATTAAGAATAAATGAACAAATAAGAAAGAAATCATTAGTTTACCTTCTGCAGTAGTTAGTACCGCTCTGGATTTGGTCTCGCAACGATATGAGCTCGTGCCAATAATTGTAGTATTCGTTGGTTTCTTTGGATTATATTTACGTAAAAATACTGCTTTTAGTCGTAAATATAGGAATTTGTTGCCATTTGACGGTTCTATTAACCAAGGTCTTGATCTACACTCCATCTGGATAAATAATTTATTTAAATTAAATTTCAAAAAAAATATTTTTCACTTTACTCACATCGCCAAATGTCATATCAATTGTTCCACTAGGACCAAATTTACGCCTGCCATCTTTGCAATTGGTGGGTCCTTTTATGAACTCAAAAAGTCCCTCGAAATTTATAGCATCTGGATCATCAAGTGTTGACATGTTAAAGGCAGTAAAATGTACCTCTAAATCCCGACTAGTCGATGTATATTCAACTGGTAAATGAGATGTATTCGAGGAATTACAGAGGCAACCTCTGGGCAGTAATATTGAATCGTGATAAGGGCGTTCAAATATCTACAAATACAAAGAAAAAAAACAAGTAAAATTAAATAAAAACCTATGGCACTATAAGTAACAAATTTACTTCAATACGCGCACTAATGTCACCGTAACAGAACGACCTGTTAATATCTTCATCCACTCGTGACATGCATTGCCGGTTCATTGTGGTGACCTTACGTAATTTGATGCGTACTCGTTCACCACGTTGACCTTCGAACTTGTAGATGCATTTCAGATTGCGTGTGCCACCACGTCCAAACAAAAATATGTTGCGTACACTGCGAAATATGGCCGGATCCTTGCGGTCCATCATGTTGCTAACGAATTTACGACTACAATCATGTTCACCGCCGCCCATTGGTAAGCCATCCTGATGCAGGTCAATAAATTCGTATTTCAGCTTAAAATCAAGTGGCCTGCAATGATATGTGTTTATGCGAGGAAAGTGCGTGTGGAAGTGAATATGTGGTTAGATAAGTGCATTAAGTAATTAATAGGCTTAAATTTCCTGTGAAAACTTTGATTTACCTCAACGCTGTCGACTCGGTATTCCTAAGCTCCAAAGTAATTGTGTCACTGCTGGACACATAACTTTCAGATATGGTGCATGGACGTGCATATGTTTCGTTAATATTCGATCGATCACAAGTGCGTGGAATTGTGCCACGACAGAAGCGTGCTATTATGTTTGTGTGGTTCTGATTGAAATGTGATAACGGAGAATGTGAAGGTGCATCACTGACGCTAAATAGTAAGTAAGTAAGAAATATTTAATTAATTAGTAAATCATTTGAATATGTTTTCATGTACCAATTTAGGTCTTTGCATTGCGGTGGATCACGCAAAGCACCATCCCAGATACGTAGCATGCCGCTACAATCCTCATGTGTTTGTAGTACGCCAATAGCACCAACTGAGGTCTCATCGATTTGACCGAATTCAGGATCGAGATTAAATTTCAGCATAGAAATCCAAACTTTAAAACGTGATATTGGCTGATGTACGCCTTGTGCAGTGACACGCCGCGACAAACTAAGATGGTCAAAGGTTTTGAAGACACCAATACCCTGTAAATGATACAGACATGTGGTGTTTGGTGCTAAAGAGTGTTGTGGATTCTCTAGTATGCCACGCCCGGCACCACGTATCCAAAATTCACATGGTTTCTTATTTTTTGAGTAGGTGGGGCTTTGAATATCCACGAATTTTACTTCAACCTAAAAATCAAAAATTCAAATGGTAAGTTTAAAGTAAATAAATCCTTCAAATATATGATAAGGTTTAATAATAGAAATAGATATATGTTACTAATATAAAAGCTTGAATCGGTTGGCATTAAGTTGTTACGCATATACCTCCGGATCCGTGATTGGAATAACAAAAATGTTCACATTCGAAAATATTTTCTTTAACTTTATTATTTCTTTCATCAAAAATTCTCAGTCTTCAGAATCATTTGAAGTTTATAATAATTTATAATAATTTTTATTAAAAAAATGAAATATAAATTTTTATTAAAAAAATTAAATATAAATTTTTATTACAAAAATTAATATAAATTTTTATTAAAAAATTAAATATAACTAAATATTTAACACTGTTTAAAAAGTGTAATTTTTTATTTTATTAAAAAAAACGTTTTCATAAAGTGATGTGTTAAATAAATGACCTAAGCCCGGTTAAAAATATAAAAACTATATTTTATTTATTTATATTTTATTTATTCATATTTTATTTATTTATATTTTATTTATTTATATATTATTTATTTATATTTTATTTATTTACATTTTATTTATTTATATTTTATTTATTTTTATTTTATTCATGTATTTTATTTTATATAATTTATTTTTATTTTTTATTTAATTTTTAATTACTGGCATTCTCTTTTACTTACTTCTAATTGAAATCCATATAATGGTAAAACCTGTGAGGATGTGCCTTGAAAGGTACCAAATGGTGATGTAGTAAATTCAACTAGCAATTCCGGTCCACTGGATACTGCAGCTGGAACTGCTTGACCACCACCGCAAAATTTCAATATGATTGGGTCACGTGTTGTGTAGCCATCGTAGACTGTGACGTAGTCCTGAAATATGGAAAATACTGCGTTAAAATATTTTCACAAACTGCATATTTATATGAAAACTCAAACACTGACACTGCAGTGCACTACGTGCATTTGCGGTTGAAGTATACATAAATGTGTAGTTAGAGAAAGAGAAGCTACAGAGGGGGAGGGGGCTGGGGATTTTTGCAAAAAGGGTAAAATTCAATTTTAACACTACGTGAATTTAATTTTTGGGAAAATTTTAAGTGCTTAAGTTTGGGTTAAGTTTGATGTGGTCGTTATAATACGATAAAAATGTATATATATATAAAAAATTGCAGTTTAAATAAACGCAAAAAGGTGAGATAGTGGGGGTGATGGGATGTCAGTTGTCCGTTCCAAATTTTCACATCAGTTCATCTGCACAGCAGAGCACAGGACATTTTATGCGTGGAGCTGTTTTGGCAAATTTGCGGTGTTTGTTCGACGGTTTTGGCTCATAAAATATGCATGACATTGAATTAATTAAAAAGCAACATTTATTTTAATTTTAATTTAAATATTGTTCAAGTGTTAATGAGGTTTTATGGTTTTTGCGTACAATATCAGTTTACCTTGTCGAATTAATTTGCGGTCGTTTTTGGGCTCATTTAAAATGTCTTTTTTAAAAATGTTTCTTTTATTTGCAGGATTTCTGTTAAATCCAAAATGACCAGAAATTAGCCAATCAAATTTAATTTTTTTTTTCTTATTTGAAGTGCTCTTTCATATAAATTTTATTTTTATGCTAATGAACCGATATGGTTGGGTTGCTTACCGAAATGGTAAGGCTTTAACAGATTTTTTTCAGTTTTAATATTTGCATATTAAATTGCAATTCAGTATTATATATAAATTGCAGCTAACAATAATATTTTACTTTTCTCTTCTTTAATTAGTTTATAACAATAATATATATTTGTTGATGCGAAATTTTATGTTTCAAATATTTATTGTTTCTCATGGCATATGAGCGATTTAATTGAAAATTGAAATTTGTTGTTTTCATTATTTTATTTTTTTTAATTTACTATGAATGCACATTTCAATTAAATTAATGAAGCAATTAAAAACTAGAACAAATTATTTTGATATATGTATATTTTAAAATACAGTGGATTTTAGTTAAAAACAATAGAAATTTTTGAAAAACTGCAGAAAAAAAAATTGCATACAATTTTGATATTCAGGTACATATGACATTTTTTAAAAATGTTTGCTAAAACTATTCCGTTTTAATAATTGGCCTTTTCTTTTGTAAGCATATCACAAAAGAACAACCGCTTATTTTAAAAATAACTTATCAAACAACAACACTGCTGGCTTATTAAGTCCAACTGTTGTGGAATCGCTTAATTAATAAGAAGCTCAAATCGTACTGTTGCCAAGATTAAAAATTCGTCTATTGTGAACGATTTTTGGAAGTACATATGATATATACAGTTAAATGTCAACAAATATGTAATAAATAATACTCGTTTTTTTTTCATTTGCAGATATTAAAAAATTTTTTTCAATGCTTGAAAACCTCAAAATAATATTAATTCACAATCATGTAAAAAATAGAAAATTATTAAAGATAATTGGAAAGAATTATTATTCATTTTCAAAACCTTAACTTTAAATTTTATTACGTGTTTTGCATATATAAGTTTAATTCATACTGCCCCAAATAAAGCAAGTCTTATGTTTTTGTTTACAAATCTAATGTTAAAAATTACATGCTCCAAACACCATTTGTATCTGGGAAATTTTAAAAGTAGTTTTATTAGTTTTAGTGGACTTCAGGTAACAGTTACAGTTCTTTGTTTATATTCAAGTTTAAAAATTTACGCTACTTTTAAAATATTTCCCCGTTTCATTAAAGTCAACTGTCACTGACATGTCACGTTTTCGTTATCTGAACTTTATCTTTTGCTTAAAATTTATCTTACGCATAGTTGCATTTAAAATGTCCCTTAATTTCAGTCTTCGTTTCAACGAAATTAAGGCCATTTTCTTAATTTTGTTCTAACCTCAAAACTGATTTTTGCGAAATTAAGGTGTGTCTGAACATTTTTCTTTTGCGAAAAAAGGCCTAATATAATAGATAATAATATAAATATAAAAGTAAGACATGTATTGTTATCAATATTTAAATAAAAATCACCTTTGTTTGGAGTGGCTGTCGGTTCAAAGGATACTTTGAACGATGAATAAAATTCAATCCAGTGTGATATTTTTTAAAGCTTTAAATTAGCTATTTTTTATAAATGCTAAATTTTTTTTGTACTACTTCTTCCTTTCAGTGAATTCAGAAAATATTTGCATAGATTTATATATTAATATGGAAGTAACCATTTAATGATATGATTTAATTTTTATAATAAAGAGATGATTCTATTAGCATGATTATGTTTATTAGACCTAGTTTTAATCTAATAACATACTCTGAATATTTTGGACGATTTGAAATAAATTTTTGGCTCAACGAAGGTTAGTCCATTTATACAATTTTTTTCGGCAAATAAACATTTTATTTTTCTACATAATCACCTTTTAGCTGGATACATTTAGTCCAGCGTTTTTTTAATTTTCTTATTCCCTCCATATAATAGGTTTTCTCAAAGCTCTCAAAATACGCGTTTGTTTCGGTTATGACTTCTTCATTCGCCTCAAATCTCTTATCGTCCAGCCATTTCTTTAGGTTTGTGAACAGAAAATAATCGTAGGGAGCTAAATCTGGTGTATATGCTGGATGTGGTAGCAGTTCGTATCCCAATTCGTGGATTTGGGATCGTAATGCTTAATTAGCACACGAAATTCACTTTTTTCGATTTTCGTAAAAATTCACGAAGTTGTCTGCTTTGAACGGCTATCAAACACCAACTGAACGACGTAGCTTGCTCAAAATTAAAAAGTTGCCCACTGATAGATTACAGCTGACGGGATCACTGTTGCATTTGGAATAACTACTCGGAAAATTCAAAAAGTCACTGACTTATCAAACCGCCCTCGTATATGCAAAATCTATACTTTTACACGAAACAAACAAATGCTAATTTTTTAACTTAGAGTATAATACAAATAATCTATGATCGTATTATGAAAATTTTTTGATATAAAGCATAATTTTTGACATAACGCAGTGGAATGTGTAGATTGATTCAATTATCTATGTAGCATGGTCGCAACTAAGAGCGGCGCTGATCAAGATCTTGACTCTCGCTTAACCACAGCCAAGATTGCATTTGGCATATTGCATCATGTGTGGGGTTTTAACCAAATTTTCAATCGCACAAAACTTCACATTTACAACTCAAACGTAAAGCCCGTTTTATTCTATGCTTGTGAGAAAAGCATGGAAAAGAACAGGAGAGATTGATGCAAAAGTACAAACTTTTGTGAACAAATACCTACGTCAAATATTAAAAATATGGTGCCCGAATAGCATTATAAACACCAACCTATGGGCCGTCACGAATCAATTACCTGCTATTGTTGATATATATAAACGCAAATGACGCTAGATAGGCCACAATCTCCGCAGATCAAATAAAAACATTGCACGCCAAGCTCTGAGGTGGAATCTTCAAGGCAGCCTTCAACCTGGAGCATCAGCTAGAACTTGAAGGAGAATAATTGAGAAAGCGCTACAGAATCCAAAATAAAAGGATGGTGGAGACCCTATGCTTCATTGGGAGTAGAGGATAAGAGAATAATAGTAATTTTTGATTCAGTTATGATTAAGCGAAAGGAAATGAAACATTTTTAAATGGACTAGGCGTAGTTATGAAATGCCAGATGTCATAAATTTAATTTAACGATTCTATTGTGTAAAGTTAATGAATAAATCATGAACTGTACAAGTCTTATCACGATATTCATGTTGTTTAGAGAATTAACTTTAAGTGTATTAGTAAATTTGGTCATGTAAGAATAAAGGAATAATCTCTGGCGAAAAATGTGAGCAATTCGATTAGATTCGATTCAGGTTAGAGAAAACTATTTCTGCGATGAAGTGAGTAGGATACTTCATTTTAGTTTTACATTAACAGCGATTTTAGTTAAGTACAGATTTCGAAAAAATGGGCGTTTGAAATTGAGACGTGAAACCTTAGCACACATTAATACTCTAAGATTTGAAAAACCTTACCTAAAGAGTTGTATAAATGTTATTTTACATATTTTTGCGAATATATTCTAGTAACCAACTGATCCAATAAAATAGCCATCGTTGAACTGAAATCAGATTTTTTGACCACTAACTCAGGTTTCAGAACGGCTGGGCTAACGTTCCGGAGCCACTCGTTAACCACGACAACCAAGAGCCGTTTATCATCCCCCAAAGAGATTTTATAAGCTGATCACAATGGGTTACAAGAACAATAATCGCATAATGAAATATTTTTTGGATGTAGGGGTAAATTTGATTGAGATTAACAATTATTTTTTGACTCTATGCATAAGATGCCTACTTGGTCATAAGCGTCAACTTGCTGTGAATATTTGTAATATAACCTAAAAAATGAACAACTATGCTACATATAACACAGCTACATCATGGTATAATTAGAACATAAAACAAAGAAACATTAAAATCTAGCTATCTCTTTCTTTCCATTATTGCTGTTCTTGTTCTGATGGATATTTACAAAGAAAAAAACCAGTTGATTGAATTTTTTAAGAACTTTTAAAACAAAAAACTATAGCATAATATAAAAGGCAGATATTTGGATGATTATATATGAAAATGTGTAAATAAAAGCTATTAAATTGAAGTAAGAAAATTTTTGCTTAAAGTAATTATGGGTATACCATATGTACATGAACGAAACAGTATTAATTGAAAAAAGGGATGACTAGATTTATATGTTCCATTATTTTGTGTTCCGATTAACAGAATTCCTATATTATTACGCACATTCTGCTGTTTTCATTTACTTGTCACCATCTTACAAGCTTGTAAGTTTTAAAAAAATGGATAAGATTTATTTCAAAGAAATTTTCTCAGCAATAAT